AGTCTGAGATGAGGGTGCTAACACAGGTTCTTAGTGAAGGCCTCCCTCTTGGCTCACAGATGGCTGCCTTCCCACTGCATCCTCACATGGCAGTGGGAAAAAGCTCTGGTCCCTTCATCTCCTGATGGGGACATTAATCCCACCATGATTAGCTCCACCCTCATGACCTCATCTAACCCTGGTTACATCCAAAAGACTCTGTCCCCTAACACCATCACGCTGGGAATTCGGGTTGTGACATAAGAATGTGAGGAACACAAATATGCAGGCCATGGCACTAATCTTTTCTCTTACTCTGCCCCCAGCCTGTAACTTTACAGTTGGCCCTCCACGTGTGCAGTTCTGAATCCGCAGATTCAACCTGCTGGAGATCATGCAGACTATTGTGAGTATTTAGTGAAAGAAATCCACGTATAAGTGGACCCATGCAGTTCAAACTCACGTTGTTCAGAGGTCAACTGTATGTACATATATATATATATAATGTATGCATCTCTTATGTGCTTCCATAGTACCCTATAATTCCTTATCATAGGAGTTATAGATACTTAACACATTGATTTAAAATTGCCTATTGATTTGTCCAGATCCCCCACGATGATCTGTCAGGGCAACGACTGTATCTGGTTCACTACTGTAGCCCCAGTACCTTGCATGATTCCTGCACAACAATAATCACTGAAGACTGCAGACGCAGTTAATTTCTGTCTAAAATTGATTTCTCTCCTTCCAGTGGATGTTGCTGTATCTGAGGGAGCACCTGGAACTGTGGCCACTCCAGCCATCATCAGGGAAGCTAACCTGAGAAAGAGAGAGTAGGCAGAAGACAGGAAGAACCAGATCTTTCAAGATGTAATTGAACCAATGGCTTAACCAAGTCTGAGTCAACCTACACTCAGACTTCTTGCTATATGAGAAAATAAACAACATTGTTATCATAACAAAGCTAAATAGACCAGAGTTAAAATCTCAATGTGGAGACTACAAAAACTGCTTACTGATCTTAAGAAACTCAAGGTGATAAGACAACAAAACCTTGACCATCTAGAAGTTAGCTTATAGTTTTCTAGATAAACTTGGGTTTTAGGTGAAAGCTGCACTTTCCAGGGGAAAAGAATCTCTTATTAGGGCTTTCATTAAAACAAAGATAATATTCTTAGAGAAGTTTCAGAGTCAATACACATTCAGTCCAATCTCCTAAATGTTAGCCCCATAAGCATAACTTGGAGACCCCTTTTAAAGGCCAACCCATTGGCCTCACCTGGAGAGATTTAGATTCAGTGGGATGTGATGGGGTCCAGGAATCGTCATTTTAGGCAGCATTCTGATGTGGACAGTCTCAGACCACTTCAAGAAACCCTATGCTATAACTTCTACTTTATATCTCTGGAACTGAACCACAGGAAATGGTGTTTCATACAATAACCAAGTGAGCAGATTTAAATGATGGAAAGATCCAGAAGATGGGAGCCACATCTGGGTTTCTCTATTCACCAGAATAAGACCATTGATCAGGCAAGTCCCTCAAGCTCTGTATGTCTGAATGTTCCCATTTATTAAAAACTACTCGGATTAATGTTTCTCTGCATTGCCACCCCACAGACTGGTTGTAAAGACCAGATGACCTCAGAAGCCGTACTATATAGATAAGAAAATGCTCTTTGTTAGGACTTTGGTGTTTATTGAGCTCCTTTTAGTAAGAAAAATTATTTGTGTTCATTAGGCTCTATTCGTTAAGAAAGAAATGAGGACTCACATTTTAGAAAGATCACTACATAGTCATACTGTAAAAGGGCTTTTGTTTAATTTCCATTTAACCCGAGAACTTGTTAACCAGAACATACTATTCCTAAGCATTCTAACTAAGTTTTCATGTAAATAATATACATTTATTAACAATAATTAATAGTGAGCAGACTCCCTATCAAAGGGAGCTTCCTTGGCTTGGGCAAAAATTAATGAGCCCAACAACCCCAGAACTGGGGAACGTATTTGCAAATCGTATCTCTGATAAGGGATTAATATCCAGACTATACAGAGAACTCCCTAAAACTCAACAACAAAAAACCATACAACCCAATTCAAAAATAGGCAAAGAATTTCAATATACATTTCTCCCAAGAAGATAGAGGAATGGCCAAAAAGCACATGAAAAGATGTTCAACATCACTAATCACTAAGGAAATGCAAATCAAAACTACAGCGAGATACCATCTCAACCCATTAGGAGGGCTACTGACAAAAAAACAAAATAGAAGGCAACAGGTGTTGGCAAGGATGTGGAGAAATGGGAGTAGAGTAGTCAAAATCATAGGGACAGAAAGTAGGATGGTGGTTCCCAGGGGCTAGGGAAAGGAGAGAATGGGGGATTATTGTTTAATGAGTATAGAGTTTCATTTTTACAAGATGAAAAGAGTTATGGGGCTGGATGGTGGTGAGGGCTGCATGACAACATGAATGTATTTAATACCACTGAACTGCACACTTAAAAATGGTTAAGATAGTCATCGTTTTGTTATGTGTATTTTACCATAATAAAAATCTATTTTAAAAAGAATTCCTAGGTCCAAGACTACACACTGTGTGATTTTATTCATGTGACCTTCTGGAAAAGACAAAACTATAGTACTAAGAACAGAGCAGTGCTTTCCAGAGCTGGGGGAGGAGGAAAGGTGTGACTGCAAAGGGGTCCAGGAGGGAGTTTTTTAGGGCGACGGAACTATTCTATATCCTCATTGTGTTGGCTGTTACAAGAACACTTATCTGCACTAAAATTCACAAACTGTACACAAAAATACACAGTTTTTACTGTATGTTGAGTTAAAAATGAAATAAATTAATCAGCCCAACTCAAGGTAACTGTTTTCCTTGCCTAGATAATAGCAACCCAAAGGGTTGAAGTTTGTAGAAAGAGAAACAAAGAATGAGAAATACAGAAGAGCAGGCAGGAGGGTAGAATGAAAACACGCACCTGGGGTAAACAATCGTCCTCAGTACCTTGTCATTCCTCGCCCTTTTGGAGAGTTATCCCCTAAAGATTAGTCTTATTCACTTCTTGGGGCTTCCTCTTCCTCTTTCCACGTGTAAAACTATTCTGACTACCAGTCATTTCCATTGTTTCTCCTGCCAGGCACTGAACACTTCAGTCCAATGTTAACTTTAAGTTGAACTGTATTTTCTAGATTACCGAACACCCCAACAATACCCAGAATGGTTCAGTGCTAAGCAAAGCCCTCTCCAACAGTTCCAACATCTGAATTCAGACAGAACCAGGGAAAAGTCATTTTCCATAGTGTTCTCTTTGCATTTCAATTGCCGCCTCTTGAGTGAAGCTTCTGGAGATACTTTGTAAGACAAACCTCTAATTTTTAATTTTTTAGTGGCCACATTTTAAAAAGTAAATAAAGCAAGTGAAATCTATTTTAATCCTATATTTTATTTAACTCAGTATATCAACATATTATCATTCCAACATGTGATCAGTGTCAAAATAATTAATGAGATATTTTGCATTCTATTTTTCGTACTAAGTCTTTGAAATCCAGTGTGTGTTTTACACTCAAAGTACATCTCAGTTTGGACTAGCCAAACCAGCAGCTAGTAGCTACCGGATAAGAGAGTACAGGTCTTTCTAGATGGCTCATTTTTGAAGCCCAGTGCAAATAGCCTATCAGTATTTGAGCTTTGATCATTACTGACTGATCTTCTGCCTACATTCTTCATTCATTCATTGGTCAGCAAAGTGCCATACATGTAGTTTTAGAGGGGGCCTGGAGCTGGCTTCAAGGACCTGCAATGTTGGCTCTAGAAAAGGAATGAGAAAGGGCATTCTGGATGGGTCACCTTGGGCAAAGGCCTGAAATGAGGGATAGTGGGGTCAGCTTGGGCAAAGGCCTGAAATGAAGAAAACAGTGCCTGTTAGGGCAAAGATGACAGTCAGGAAAGGGGGGAGGTAGGCAAGGCCAGTGAAGGGCCTGGCAAGTCACCTTTGACTTCTAAAATAAGTCTTCTACACTTGCTAAAATTCCATAAAAGGCAACCGTATCTCTACCTTATTGAGATAGAATCCAAACGACGCTGCATTTAAGCTTTCGCTGGTAACAGTCGTACTCCTCTGGACTGACTGTTCCATGAAGACAGCGCCATCTGCTTTGTGCACCACCTGTCCCAGGTCCTGCAACATTGCCTGGCAGTGGGCGCTAGAGGTTTGCGGAGTTCCTTCAGCCCTTCCCCCCAGACCTCCTCTCCCCCTCGGCAGGGCGGGAGAGAGGGAAAGGCATCAGCCCTAGCCTAGCTAGGTAGCCTGGTCCTAGCCTAGCTTCAAAAACCCTCTGGAGTTCAGAGGCAGGTCTTTCCCTTCTGGGATGTTTCCTCACCTATGAATTGGGGCTCACAACACTCACTACCCGCCGCCCTGGACTGCTGTGTAACTCAAATGAATTTACAAAAAACTCCTCAAAAAATGAAAAGGTGCACTTTGTGGACTTGAGAGCAGAATGACATAACTTGCCGAGGTCAAGGACGGGTTTCCATCCTTCCTGGCCAGGATGGGTATCCTCGGCCAAGATGCAGGGTGATTGACGCAGGGAGTAGGGTGCCCCGACTCGATCCCTCGGGAGGTAACCGAAAGTGTGACTGCTTAACGGGCCTCTGGAGGAGGTGCCACTTAAGGATATGGGGAGAAGGTGGCAGAGCGGCCGTTGGCTGAGAGGTGACTCCTCAGTTCCTCAAGGCCATGACACCCGAATCCCGCCGCCCGCGCCCCGCACCCGCGGGCGCATCAGAGCGCGGTACACTCCGCCAGCCCCCGAGTCCCAGGCCACCCCCTCCCCGCACGCTGGCGAGGGGAAGAGGGTGGAGCGGCCTGACTCCCACAGCCAATAAAAGCAGCGGGTTCCTGGTCCGATCCCTGGCGAGGCTCGCCATTGGTCGCCACCCGGGTCTCGGCCCACCGAACCTTTGCGACCCGAGCCAATCGCGAGGCGGCGAAGCATTCCTCTGGCTCCCGGGGAGCAGGCGGCTGGCGGCAGTGAGCTCAGGCCAGGGCAGAGCGGGTGGCCGTGACAGGCGACGCAAGCCGACATCCTCTCCCCTGTGCGGCGCACCACCGGCTCCACGATGGAACCCGCCGTGTCGCTGGCCGTGTGCGCGCTCCTCTTCCTGCTCTGGATCCGCGTGAAGGGGCTGGAGTTCGTGCTCATTCACCAGCGCTGGGTGTTCGTGTGCCTCTTCCTCCTGCCGCTCTCGCTCATCTTCGACATCTACTACTATGTGCGCGCCTGGGTGGTGTTCAAGCTCAGCAGCGCGCCGCGGCTGCACGAGCAGCGTGTGCGGGACATCCAGAAGCAGGTGAGCGGCGCCGGGTGGGGCGAGAGCCAGGCGCAAAGTGGTGCACCGCGCGGGGGAGCCAGGGCTTCACCGAGGAGGTCTGGTGTGGACGGGATTTGAAGTGAACATGTGGTAGTGGGGGCTTCCGGAGAGGGAACAGAGTAAGCAAAGGGGTTGAACAGAACCTTGCTCCGACATTTATGGAGTGCCTACTATGTGCAGAGTACGTGCGGGTACCTGGAGGCATGTAAAGAATCGTAAGATGGGGTAGGTAAGCCATGCCCAGGTAGCTCTCACCCGGCCCAAGCAATTTCAAGGGGAGGGGTGGCTTCAAGGAGGTGCAGCTGGCACTAGAGACTGGGAAGTAGGGAGAATGATTGGGGGAAGGTGTGAGCGGAAGAGACGGGGAGGAAGGTCGGAAAGTCAGTTTGAAGCTAGGTTGGGAGGGGCCTTCAGTTTAAAGTTTACTCTGTAGCAACAAGCAGCTTTCCACGTGTTGAGAATAGAGGACTAAAGTGGGAAGGCAGCAACAGGCCAGGGTGGGCAGCCTCGCAGATCCTGAGCTAGGCGCTCACTCTTGACAAGGTAGTGTCCACCTCCCAGGAACTCTGTATGTCTTCCCTGTGTCAGTGCCCACAGAGCCAGCACCTCTGCTGCTACTCACAGTGGAGCCTTCTACTCCACCGCTGGCTTGGGCATCAGGCCTAGGCAGTTTCTTGGCTCCCTCTGCCCCTCCTTATATTCCTTGCTTACTGGCGTCATATTGCAAAGAGCTGCTGTTTCTTGCTGCCGTGCTTGCCCCAGGTGTGGCAGCCTCCATTCTCTGTTTGTTGCTGGCCAGGTGCTGCAGGCAAGATCATGAAGATGGATGTGGAGAAACATCCCTGTGAGGGATAGACCTTTGGCCAGAAGGGAGTAGGCAGCGTCTGAAAGTGCTTTACTCTGGCTTTCGTGGGCTTTGCTGGTCACAGTCACAGATCCAGAGGCCTGCCTACCTTCCCTCCTAAATGCACCCTCTTTCCCAACTCTTTCCATGTATTCAGATTCTCCGTTACCTGCTTGTCTCTCAAGAGTGTGAGCTCCTTGAAGGCAGAGACTGTTGTCTGACTCAATTCTGCCCCAGAGGGCCTGAGTCAGCGCAGCTCAGTGAGCACTTAGGAACCTAAGCTAAACCTGAGGGCTCACTGTGGACAGGAAGATGGGGGCTCTGCCAGTCCAGCCCACTGCCCAGACCTTCCTCATGCCTCACCCCAGGCCACTGATATCCATTATTTCTCATCCTCACAGCAACCCTGGTAGGTCTTATACCTGGTACAGATGGGAAATATTGAGGCTCAAACTGTAAGTCACACGCCCAAGATGACAGAGCTAGTCGATGGGGCTGGAACCCAGATCAGCTTGATTTCAGAGCCAGAACGCTCATGTTTCTGCTTTCCCAACCTTTTCCATTCCACCCTGGAGGTCTGTTTCTGTTGCCTCACTTCTGGCGTGTTGTAAGAGCTACCTGACCAGTTGCCCATTTCCTGGCCCCTCCCCATCTCTTTTCTGCCTGCACTTAGTCCTAAGGATGACTCCCCACAGGATTGCCTCGATGTCTAGAATCTTGGCTGGCTCCTGTCAGGATCCAGCTGGACCAATGCTTCAGGCTTGATGGCATCCACATTCACTTCACATGCCCCCTACCTTCCGGGCTGCATGCAGCTCTCCCAATCCATTCCCCATACCTCTGCGCTTGTTTTAAGCCGTGGGACTGCAGAGCTGGGCAGGGGCAAGGTCTGCTTGGTCATGGAATTCCACCTGCCATCCCTTCACCCCCTACTCACAGGAATCCCTTCCTCAACATCTCCCCTCTGCTTGAATGCCTCTACTTCACATGGCACACTGGCCTCTCCAGTCGGCGGGAGGTTCTTCCCCTTGTTCCACTGTTTGCCTGACCAGCTTCAGTGCATCCTCTTCCAGGACTCTTGCTTGCAAGTGATAGAAACTCAACTCAAACTGGCTTGAGCAAAAAGGGACTTTATTGACCCAGGTCATTTACTCAGGCATGCCCGGATCCAGGATCTGTCTCCATCTTTCCACCATCTGCCATCTCTTGGCTCTGCTTTCCTCTGAGTTGACTTCATTCTCAGGGAGGCTGTCTCCCTACAGAGGCCCCAGCACTTTCTGGCTTACATCCAGTGAGCCTAGCAACCCCAGTAAAGTGAGAGGGCCTCTCCTGGAATCAGTCTTATTGGCTTGACTTGGATTAGAGGCCCATACCTGAACCGGTCACTGTGACCAGGAGGATGGAGTCAGACCTCAGTCATATGTCCACCTCCTGAGGCAGAGGGAGAATCAGCGTCACCCGGACCAAAGGAAGATGGGAGTGTCAGAGAAGAGGAAGAGGCAATTGGTGGTCTTAGATCACAGGAACAGATGCTCACCTCGTTGCCCTTGTCCATCTCATGCCTCCTCCCATGTTCCTTGTCATCTCCTGGGCCATTTGTTCTCTGTGCTTTGTGCTCTGGTCACTTACAGCGGAGGTTTTGCAAAAGTTCCTTCTTCCATTGGCTTGGTGGGCCGCCTCTGCCCATTCTCTCCCCGCTCCGAGTGATACGAGTTAACACACACAAACGCTTAGCACAGGGTTTGGGACATCATAAGCCTCAGTAAGTGTTAGCTGTTATTCTGCTGACTATTTATATGTGCCCACTTACCCTTCCAGGCCTGAGGTCGGATAGCCCTGGATGTGAATCTGGGCTCTACCCTTCCCTGGTTATTTGACTCTGAGTTATTTTGCCTTTAAGATTCTTCACCTGCAAAAGGAGGCTGGTCTTCCCAACCCTCTGGAGTTGTGAGCATGAAATAAGACAATGTTTGACAGGCGCCTGGCACAGTGGAGGCAGCTAGTAAACGCTTTTCGTTTGTATGGTTGCTGTTATTACCATTACATAACCTATTCTAAACTTTCCAGTTAGAATTAATGTTTCCCAAGTACTTTGGTCCTGTCTTCTTGCTTTTCCTTTCTTCGGCTTCATGGTGTGGCATCACCTTGGCTCTTCTGTCAGCTTCATTAGCCAGGGAGAATCCAGAGGATAAGGCCAGTGGGCCTTTCATCATCCTGCTCCTCCCAGTGCCTGGATGGATTCAGGGCCTCAGTAAATGTCTGCTGACAAGCAAAGGCATCATTCCCAGCTCCCTCGCCTGAGACCAGGGCTGTGAGCTGCTGCGGGGATCCCTGGCGGGGCTAGCTCAGTCTCTGTCTTGTGGCTGCAGGTACGGGAATGGAAGGAGCAGGGCAGCAAGACCTTCATGTGCACAGGGCGCCCTGGCTGGCTCACTGTCTCACTGCGGGTTGGAAAGTACAAGAAGACACACAAAAACATCATGATCAACCTGATGGACATTCTAGAGGTGGACACCAAGAAACAGGTGAGAGTGGCATGGTTCCCCGGCTCTGGGAGTACATGGGGCACTGCCCCTGCTGCAGATGGCTCACCAGGAGATGATTTTACCCGAGGGCATCCCAGGGTGGGCAGGACCAAGGTCCCTGGTCATCAAAGAAGGCTTTGCCCACCATTGCCATCCTCTAGAGCCTCACAGCTTTGGAAGAGATTGGTCATAGCCCCATCTCACAGGTGGACAAACCGAGAGCTCAGGGATTCTTTGATTGTCTGCAGTTCCACAGGAAGACGGGTGGGGAAATCATGGACAAAAATGAGAGACAAAAGGGAACTTATTTACCCCTTCCCAGTAAGGAGGTATGCTGGTAAAAATAAGGCTGTGGAGGTGGCTCAGAGAGTGGGCCTTGTTCCAAGTTTTCTGGGGACCCACTTGTTAATAGCTTTAGATGTGTGCATACTCTTTGGCCTGTCTGATAATTCTACTTCTTGAAACCTGGCTCAAAAAAAAGGAAGCAAACTTAAATCAAAGAAAGAATACAGAGAGGTTGTATCACAGATTTGCTTTTAGTCAGACAAAACAATATGCAATGATAGGGAGTTGTTAAATATGGTCTATCCACATGATGGCATTTTGTTTTGAAGTCTTGGCCAAGTTACTTAATTTCCCTGTGCCTTTTTTTTTTCTTAACCATTTTATGAACATATTCTTGACATACAGTAAACTGCACATAAAGTGTATAACTGATACTAAATTTTGATATATATCTGCACCTGTAAAACCATTACCACAGTCAAGATAACCATCACCCCAGAAGTTTCTTCATGCCATTTTTTAATCCCTCCCTCAGGCTCCTCCCTGCCTCCTCCCCCCACATTCCTAATTTGATTCAGTTGTTGTCAGAAAGCGTAATTCATATGATTAGAATGCTTTTCAACTTAATGAGACTTACTTTATAGCCCAGAATCTGGTTGACCTGGTAAACGTTCCTTGTGCTTTAAAAAAAAAAGTGTGTATTTTGCTGTCTTGGGATGATGTGTACTATAAGCATCAATTAAGGCAAGTTGGTTGATAGTGTCGTTCAAGTCTTCTGTATCCTTACGAATTTTCTCTCTGCTTATTCTATCAGTTATTGAAAGAATATTGAAATCTCTGCCTGTCACTGTATTTGTTTATATCTCTTGCACTTCCTTCAGTTTTTGCTTCGTACGATTTGAAGCTCTGTTATTAGGTATATAAACGTTTAGGGGTTTAATGTTCTCTTGATTAATTGATCCCTTTATCGTTATGAAATGACCTTTTTTATTCCTAGTTACAGTCTTGGCTGGGAAATCTACTTTGTCTGACATTAATACAAGCACTCCAGCTCTCTTTTGACTAAGTGGCAGCATGGTGTATCTTTCTCCATCCTTTTCCTTTTAACCTATTTGTATCTTTAGATTTGAAGTGTTTCTTGTAGGCAGCATATAATTAGGTCTTGCTTTTCTTATCCGATCTGACAATTTCTGCCTTTTAATTTGGATTTAAGACCATTTACCTTGAATGTTATTATTACAAGGTTCAGTTTGAATCTGTTCTCCTTGCGCTTTATTTTCTATTTGTCCCATTTGGTTTTTGTTCCCTTTTTTTTTTTTTATGTCTTCTTTTGGACTACTGAATAATTTTGGAGTCTATTTTAGCTCGTTTGTTGACTGATTAAAGTCCTTTGCTGTTTTAGCAGTTGTTTAAAGATTTATGACGTACACTTGTAACAGTCTACCTTCAAGTCATAGTATCCCATTTCAGGTATAGGATAAGACTCTTACAATAACAGGCTTCCATTTCTCTCCTCCCCACCTTTGTGCTATTGTTGTCATCCCTTCACTTTTATATATGTTATAAATCCCACATTACATTATTATTATTAATAGTTATCTTTTAAAGACATTTAATAAGAAAAACCTCATGTACTTACCCATGCAGTTACCATTTCTTCATTCTGCTGTGTAGATCTGTATTTCCATCTGTTTCATATTCCTTCTACCTAAAGAACCTCCTTTGACATTTCTTGTATGGTGATGTTGCTGGTGATGAATCTTTCAGCTGTTGTATGTCAGAAAACATTTATTTTGCCTTCATGTCTTTTCCAATTTGTGTTGTGGTAAGATACGGGTAACAGTTACCGTCTTACCCACCTTTAAGTGTGCAGCTCAGTGGTATTAAATACATGCGTATTGTCATTCAGCAATTACCACCATCCATCCCTATAACTCTTGTCATCTTATAAAACTGAAACTATCCCATTAAATGATAACTCCCCATTCTCCCCTCCACCGAGACCCTGGCAACCACTTTTTGTTTCTATGATTTTTCACTACTCCAAGTACGTCATACAGGTAGAATCATACAGCATTTGTCTTTCAGTGACTGATGTCCTCAAGGTTCATCCATGTTGTAGCATGTGTCAGAATTTCCTTCCTTTTTAAAGCTGAATAATATTCCATTGTATGTATGTACCACATTTGCTTATTCATTAATTCATCCATGGACACTTGGGTTACTTCTATGTTTTAGCTATTGTGAACAATGCTGTTATGAACACAGTGTACAAATATCTTTTCAAGACCTTGCTTTCAGTTATTTTGGGTATATACCCAGAATTGGAATTGTTGGATCACATGTTACTTCCATGTTTAATTTTTTGAGGAACAGCCATATTGGCTTCTAAGTGGCTATACCATTTTAGATCCCCACCAACAGTGCACAGGGGTTTTAATTTCTCCACATTCTCACCAATACTTGTTATTTTCTGGATTTAAAAAAAAAATTTTTTTTTAATAAACCATTCTAGTGGGTATGAGGTTGCCTTCAGTTTTGAAAGATATTTTCAACGGGTATGGAATCCCCAGTTGACAGTTTTTTTCCCTTCCTTCAGTGTTTTAAAGATGCTTCTCTATCTTGCTTGGATTAATTCTAATAAGAAATCTCTCATCCTTATCTTTGTTCCTCTCTGTGTAACATGTCTTTTTTCTCAAGGTGCTTTTAAGATTTTCTCCTTGTAACTAGTTTTGAGCAATTATGATGATGTGCTGTGGTATAGTTTTCTTTATAATTCTTGTTCTTGGGAGTCATGTAATTTTTCATCAAATTTGAAAATTTGGGATCATTATTTCTTCAAATATTTTTTCTGTTCCCCTCCTCTCTCTCCTTTGAGGACTGCTGTTACACATGCATTAGGCCACTTGAAATTGTTCCACACCTCAGCTCACTGATACACTGATCATTAATTTTCTTTTTTCTCCGTATGCTTCATTTTGGATAGTTTCTTTGCTGTGTATTTAAATTCACTACACTTTTTCCACAGTGTCTAATGTGCCGTCAATCCCAACCAGGGTGTTTTTCATCTCCGACATAGTGATTTTCATTTCTAGAAGTTTGATTTGGACCTTTTTAGTGTCTTTTAAATGTCTTTGCCTGACTTTTTGAACATAGAGAATACAGTAACAATTATTTTAATGTCCTTGTTCGCTGAGTTTAGTATCTATGTCTATGGGTCTGTTTTATCAAAACTGATTGATTGACTTTTTTTCTCCACATTATGGGTTGAATCTTCCTGCCTCTATTCATGCCTGGTAAACTTTGATTGGATTCTACACATCAGGAGTTTTACCTTGTTGGGTGCTGGATATTTTTTTCTTAAGAGGGAGAGGTAATTAGGTTTATTTATTTATTTACTTTTTTTTTTAATGGAGGTACTGGGAATTGAACCCAGGACCTCCTGCATGCTAAGCATGCGCTCTACCACTAAGCCATATCCTCCCCCTGGTTGCTGCATATTTTTGTATCCCTGTAAATCTTCCTGCAGTTTCTTCTGACGTAGAGCTGAGTTAATGGAAAATAGTTTGATCCTGTTAGGTCTTTTTTTTTTCAGCCCTGTAAGAATAAGCTTTTATTAAAATCTTTACATACTTTTGCATTATGAAGGGGTGTCAGGAAAAATACAACATAGTTCCTAAGAGAAAATGTATTAAGGACCCTATTTTAATGTTGTCCAGAGCTGCCATCCAAAAATTCTCCAATCACTGACCTCCAATTACTTAAGAAAAAGTAATCAACTGAAATCACGGGGGTCTCTAGTTCCCAAAGAAACCAAACCTGTACACTAACAAATCACAACAGAAATTAACAGAACAAGGCTTTTCACTTTTTTACTCAAAAAAGCTTCCTTTTTTTATTTAGCTTTCTGACTCTGGGCTTGTGCTTTCAACACATTAACAACGATTTTCTGCTCCTCAATCAGGAAAGCACGCTTGATCCTGTCACCGACACATCCAGCACACATGGAGCCACCATGAGCCCGGCTGACATGTTTTTTGTTTTAGACAGTCTCATAAGAACTTTAGGTGTCACAGCACGAACTCCTCAAAGTCGGCCTGGGCACACGCCACATGCGGATTTTCGTGCCTTCCCAACTTTCTTGTTATAAAAGTTAAACAATCCTATTACCAGGGGTTCAGGACAGCCTAGTTTTGTTAAGAGGCTATATTGCAAGACAGCCTATGACAGTATGTCAAGCGCTGGATCATTCTGAATGTCTCTAGATACTGTCCTCGGGAGAGGAAAAAGGAAGGGAGGAGGGGTCATGATTTTTCAAGTGGGGCCAGGGCAGCATGTAATCTAGGCACAATTATTCCCTGCTACTGCGGCAGGACCATTCTGAGTCATTACATTACCCAGTGCCCTGTGAATCATGAGCTTTTCCCAGCTGGCTTGTTCCCTGCCCTATTTGAGCCCCTGGCGCTGTCACCTGTTATCCTTTCTGGGGGCTCTTCCCGTCACCCCAGCCTCAGGTAGTTTCCTCGTGTGTATACACTGAGCAGTACTCAGTTGAATACTCAACAGACACCCTTTGCAGCACTTCAGAGTTTTCTCTCTGGAAGTTCTCCCCTCGCCAGTACTTTGTCCTGCAAAGTCTATTCACCTTGATCTTCTGGGATCTCAACTCAGAGTGCACTGGGCTCCCCTTCCCTGCGCTGCCTAACTCCAGGCAGTTAGCCAGGGCGTCCACAGAGCTCACCTTGCTTATTTCCTGTCTCTCATAATCATTAACTTCGTTGCCTGAGGTCCACTGTATTGAAAACTCCTGTCTCATATATTTTGTCTTTTTTTTTCCTCCAGGTAGCAGGGTAAATCTGATTCTTTTTGCTCCGTCTTGGCTAGAAGCAAAGTCCACATATCCATTAAAAATCGTATTTTCCAAGAACATTTAATGGCAACGGATGATGATCGTAGCACAGTGTTAAATTCTAAAAAGACAGAAAAGTGTGTGTTATGTGTGTGTTGTATTAAAACATAAAAAATTGCAATATAGGTGTGCATGGAAAAAGACTGAAAGTAGATATACTCCGGTATTAATATTGATAACTTGGGAAAGCTTGGATGGATGATTTTTGTCTTCTTCATATGCGCTGTTTCTTCCAAATAAATGAGTATTTCTTCTTCCAGAAAAAAAAAAACTAAGTATTAAGTGTAAAGATATTTGAAAGGACAAGATTAAATACTAGCAAACCCAGTGCCAGAAACCCCAGTCACTGTAATTAAAGGCGGTGGAATGTTCTAGAAAGAGGCTATAATGTAGGAATCCCTGTGTTGATTTTTTTGGGAAGCTTTGGGACAACACCTTCTGCAGGGAGAAGCCTCCTGGCAGCCTCCTTACAGCCTCCTGTGACCCAGGGTCTCTCTTCTTGTGTCAACAGATTGTCCGCGTGGAGCCCTTGGTGACCATGGGTCAGGTGACCGCTCTGCTGACCTCCATTGGCTGGACTCTGCCTGTGTTGCCAGAACTGGATGACCTTACAGTGGGTGAGGACTCAGACAGTCCTAACATCAGAGCTGAGGGCCCACCTTCCGTCAGGCTCAGGAGTTGCCACTGTTCCATCTGTGACAGAAGTCACCCTGAGTCTGCTCACCCAGCTCCAAAGCCAGGGTGCTCATTGCCTGCCAGTCCATTTCTAAATGTTTTCAGACAGCATTTTTCTTTTCTTTTTTTTGAGGAGGGGGTGGGTAATTAGGTTTATTTATTATTTTTTAGAGGAGGTACTGGGAATTGAACCCAGGACCTCATCCGTGCTAAGCATGCAGGGTACTACTTGAGCTATACCCTCCCCGATGGGGTAGCACTTTTCAGTCTCTGGTTTGAACCTGCTTCCCTGTAATTTTGTACCCATTGCTCCAGTTCGGCCCCATGAAACACACAGAATAAGTCTAGTCTCTCTCTCCTTCTACAAGGTTCCAGGTCCCCGAGCCTTTTCTTCTTTAGGGGAGAAACCTACAGGTCCTTTAACTGTTCCCATGGGACACAGCTCCCCCCACACACACACCCCACCCAACTCCCTTTCATCAAGGTCCCTGTGAATATACACAGGTTTCTATGTTGGATCTGGCCAGAGGTGATGGAGTGAGTGCCCTTGCTGGGGTCTCGTATCCTTCCCCCACCTCTGTGGAAGCCCTCATGCTCATATCTGAGCCCCTCCTCTTCTCTCCTGCTCTCCACATCCACAGAGATGGGAAATCTCCCCTAAGTTCTGCCCACCTGTCATGCCTCCCGCATGCGCTGAGCTTCCCCAGCTCCTGCAAGGTGCCCTTTACCCAGCCCTCCCCTGACTCTTCCCCTCTACCCCCAGCTCTGCCTGGCTAATGCACATGTCTCTGCAGGAGGGTTGATCATGGGCACGGGCATCGAGTCTTCATCCCACAAGTATGGCCTGTTCCAACACATCTGCACAGCCTACGAGCTGGTCCTGGCCGATGGCAGCTTTGTCCGATGCACACCGGTGAGTTCAGAGATTGGGGAATGTCCCCACCAGCCTGCCCTGGACATTAAGGACCCCGAGAGGTGGCTCCCCTGGGGGTGCTTCATTTCAAATACATCTGTCCAGTCTGGATCTGTATCCATAACAATAACAAAGATTTTTATAGCCTCTGATATGTGCTCAGACACTGTTATAAATGCTTCATATATATTAAGGCATTTAATCCTTCAGCAGCTTTGTGAGGTGAACACTATTATCAGCCATATTTTACAGAGCTAGGAAACTAAAGCACGGAGAGGTTAATAAACTTGCCCAAGATCACACACAGCTGGGATTCAACGACCTTAGCCATTCATGACACCACACTGCCTCAAAGCCAGGCCCAAGCATCAACGCTCTGTGTCAGATGTTGTGAGGTGTAACCAAAAGCAGTAAGAGAGGCTGTTTTGGAGAAATAAAAGGCAGTTCCACTGCCTAAAGTGAGATACAGACAGTTAAGAAGCAGGACAGGGTTGAAACTTTAAATAAACACATCTTTCTGAGTGTATCTAAGGGGCCTCTAGGGTAGGAGGGACAGTGTGACCCTTAAAAGTGAATGTTTTAGAGAGCCACCAGAGTCGGCTGGCTTCACAGAATAGAGCCCAGGGCAGGACTCCAAGCTTAAGAGCTCTGGTCTGGACAAGACAGACCTCTTCCAGGATTCACACTAATTCAGCACGTTTCTTTAAACACTCTCCTGGGCCCTGCCATCTAACCTACTCATTACCAGCAGAGAAAGGAGGCAAACGATCATGAATTAGTCCAATTTCCTTATCGTCAGGACGAGAAAGTAGATGCCACGTGTTAAGCTCCTAGCACAGATTTGGTCGTGTGGCAAATGCCCGGTTTTTACTGCTACTGGCTGACAGTGTGATTAGGTGGTGGCCCAGAGGGGATTGGTTGGCCCACTTCTGCCAGTCTGCTCCAAGCCTCCTGCCCCGCTGCACCCCACCACACCCACACCAAAGGCATTCAGCATGAGCAGAGACCACACAGGCCTGTCCTCTCCGTGCAGCCCGGACAAGGCTGGACTTCTTCACAAGGAGCTCTATTAGAATCAAAGAAGCTGAGTTAGAATAGCTGGATGAGAAGCTGTCTGTCTCCAAGACAAATGCCAAAATAAGAAACGATGTAGTTAGGAGCAGAGTCGCAGAACCAGATGAGGTGTGGCAGGAGGAACGCAGGACTGGGCATTAGGCAATCTTGCCTGAGCCCCAGCATCGCTGCACTGACTTGGGGGAACCATGGGTGGGCCACGTCACCTCTAGGAGTCTCACTTTCTTTACAAGTGCGAATGTTAATGCTCTCCCTGGTCTGGGGAATGGGGGTGGAATTTCATAGCTAATCGACCAGGAAAGGCTTTATAAACTTGAGTAGTAGCCCATTTTAAGGTCCCCTGGCAACCTTTATCCTCTTTAGCCTGGCCTGGGACCCCTGGCCCTTAGTCCCTCATTTTGGAACTCTAGGAAGTGCTGGTCCTGGCCTCTTCCTGGGTATCCTGTGGTCCAGGGACTGTGCCCAGGTGGAGGAAAGATGTCCTCTCTGTGAGCATCCCTGATAGAGAGGGCAGTGTAAGGTCAGATCTCACACTGAAACTGCAGAGGGAGGACTGAGACCAGAAGGTAGAGTCTTGAAGGTCCTTGTTGAGGCTGACGCAGATAGTGCCAGGACAAGGATTTAGCCCAGGCCCCAGGTTCTGTGCCTTGTTGACAACGTGCTGCAGTGTGGGGTCGAGGTTCAAACTCAGCTTGTGTCCACTCTGCTTCTCAGTCAGAAAACTCAGACCTGTTCTACGCTGTGCCCTGGTCCTGTGGGACTCTGGGCTTCCTGGTGGCCGCCGAGATCCGTATCATCCCTGCCAAGAAGTACGTCAAGTTGCGGTTTGAGCCGGTGTATGGCCTGGAGGCCATCTGTGACAAGTTCACCCGCGAGTCCCAGCGGCTGGAGAACCACTTTGTGGAAGGGCTGCTCTATTCCCTGGATGAGGCTGTCATCATGACGGGAGTCATGACGGACGATATAGAGCCCAGCAAGGTAGGCCAGGAGGGAGTGCCTGGGTGGGCTGGGACTGAGCCTGACCCCTGATCTGCGAGGCTGCAACCAGGGTCAGCCCACCTGGAGTTTGGACAACAGGATCAATAGTCAGTGGTCTTAGGCAGTGACAAAAACATCCATTTACTCTGCCCCTACCACCTGCCAGGTACATGGGCATCTCTTGATAGGCATAGTCTTTGATCCTCCAGCAACCCCATTTTATAGATAAGAAAACCAAGATTCCAAGAAGTCATGTAAACTTCCACGAGACAACAAAACCAAGATTTGAGGAATTGATTTGATGCCTCAGAATCCAGATTGACACCCCTTCAATGTACACTATGTAACTTTTAATAGCCGTTCTTTCTCTATTGAGAAAGGATTTGTGTTTGTTATGAGAAACTTGGAAAGGGTACAGAAGTAAAAGGGAAAAGACTCCACCTGTATACATAACCCAAGCCAGCACTTGCTAACATGTTTGATAGATTTATTTCCTCTTTTTGATGCATAGATTTTTTTAAAGCTTTTTTAAAAAGAGTATATACAACAATGTTGAGATACATAGAGAAAAAGTTAAAGTGAATCCTTTCACCCAGACTTGCTCCCAGGATGACCACTTGTAACACAGTCTTTGAGGCCTGTGTGTACATATGTGTGTGAGTGAGTGTGTGCATATGCACATGCATACACACGCCTTCATTTTATCCCATGGTATCCCGTTGTGGCTGGTAAATAATTGACCTAACTCATTGCTTCCCAATGAGCATTTATGTTGCTTAAAATGTTTTACTCTCACAAATAAGATTGCACTGCAGATTCTCCCACATCTATCCTTGACCTCTTGTAAAAGCATTTCTGTAGGAATGAGACCCAAAAAAAGAATTTCTGACCCCAGGGTTTGAGCACATTAAATATCAGTAGGTATGGCCAAACGGCCCTCGAGAAATGGGTGCTCTGTCCCCTTCCAGCAACGCGACGCCATGTAAGAATGCCTTTCGTCAGACTTCTTGCCAACGCTGGATAGCATCACTCTTTCATTTTTGCCCATCTGATAGGGTTAAAAATAGTAACTCGTTTTATTTTGCAGTTCTCAGTCACTTTCGAGGTTGAGCATCTCTCTGCACAATTTTTCGGTTTTTCTGTCTTCAGCTGTGATCGCCAGTTCAAATTGGTAATTTCTGGTTTAGTGTAATAAGCATTTCCCCATGTTGTTACATTGCCTTCATATTTAATGACTGCAGAAACGTTGCAGAGAGCAAATGCCCTGTCATCTGCTACCCCAGAGTTGTAAATTACAGTTGCATCCAGTTTTTCATTATTTTGATTAATGTAGCAACGGACATCTTTTTGTTTGTAATTTGAATAATACCTTAAAGGAGAATTAGTACATCAAAGAATAGGCACTCTTAAGGCTCTTGATCTATCTCTGTATACTTAAAACATTTTAAAATTGGAAGGGACTCTAAAATCATCTGGCACAATTACCTCTCTAAATAAGGAAATAAATACGTGGCCTCTGGGGGAAAGAGACTCCTCTGAGGACACACAGCAAGCATGGGCAGATTTAAATTTGGGTCTCTGACTCCTAGTTCGGTGTTCGTTCCCCTCCACTTCAGCTTCTAGAATTTAGCATCATCTGCAAACATTGATTGAACACCATTCCTTGTGGGCCACCAGTGAGCCCTGGATGGTTTGCGGTCCTGGAGCAGGAGTGGGACTGCGGACATCCAGCCCAAATGCCCTGATGACCCCCTGGCCCTCCCTCCTAGGTCAGGCCAGGTCAGTCAGCATGTCACCCTGCACCTCATCACCTGGCAAGGAATGTCTAGTCCTGAGGTTTTCTGACTTCTCAGAAACATTCCCCTAGATGAAGCCCGTGGCGATAAGCTGAGGGCAGCAAATGTCATCTCTCTGATATATTAGGTTCTGCCTGAGGTTATAATTGGGCAGAGAGTGTTGTACAGCTCTTAAAATGTTTGAACACTCTGACCAATTCCCTTATTTCTGAAGAAGATAAGGTCTTACACAGAGCACACCTGGTATCCATGGCAGACGGGCCAGGCCTCAGGCCACAGACTCTTGCAGACTCTCCATGAGCAAGACCCTGATGCCGGGCAGGAGCAGGGCTGGGAGGAGAATGGTAGATGTTTTAGACATGTTCATATTTCATTTGAGGAGTGTTTTGTCTAAACATTCCTGTTTAGCAGGCTGCTCAGGAATTTGTCTCTGCACGTTAGCCACTGTCTGGTGGGAGGCTCACTGTGCCCTGGGAGGAGGCAGCCCACCTGCATTTTACAGGGGAGGCCCAGAGACAGGAACTGGCTTACTATAAGTGCTAGAGCTGGAACTGGAACTCATGCCACTGCCTGGCCGCGCTGGCTGACATGTGCCCCAAGAGAGATGCACCACCTTGGGTTCTTTATCGTATCTTGGGCTTCTCTGGCACAGAGTTCCTGATGAGTCAATGAGCACCATGTGCCTCCAAGCCTCGGTTTCATCATGCAGCTGGTGCCACTGCCAGGTGTGTGGCCAGGCCCACCTGGGGAAAGGGCAGGTTGCTCTGCTCCCATTGGGCCTGACTCTCCTGTGCATGAGCAGGCGGAGGCCCACCTCTGGTGACTTTTGCCCTGCCCCACACTATCTACACTCAGACTGACTTGGACAAACAGACTCTCTAGCCTATTTCCTGGCACTCTGTGGCCCTGGTTTTCTCCCTGCAGAACAGCCTTCCAGCAGAGTGGGACTGCACAAGGGGGTAACACCCAGGATAAGCTGCCAGAGATGAGGAGCAGAGGTTGCCTTGCTCCAGGGTGGAGGGGGCAGGCAAGGGGCTGGGGGTGCAGAGGACCAGTGAGCGGGCCGGGAACTGAATACCATCCCCCCTACTTGGGGCAGGCACCATGCTTGGTACTTTCTACATTATCTTTTTATTTAGTTTTTCCTCCCCTCTGAATGGGGCAGTAATGTCTCCATTTTGCCTGTACTGAAAACAAGGCTCAGAGAGGCTACATAACCTGCCAGGATCAGCCTGGTGC